ATGTGCCGGGCCTTTGCATGAGGTGTCTCAGTGAATCCTCAGAGCTGCCTTACAAGGGGTATGAATATTACCCCTGTTTTACAGGTCAGAAAACTAAGGTAGAGGGAGGGTGTTCAGCATTGTGACCATGGTCTCCATGAAAGAAGAGCAGACATGTGATGCCTGGGTTTTCAGTGGCCTTGCACTCTGTTACTGTCTAGGTGTCGGTAGGTTAATGGTGTCTGGAGCAGGGATGGTGTTTTAGTATCCCACCACAGACATGTACAGGATTGGCCTTTGCTTGTGAGCTGTAAGGTGGGTGAGGCCTTGGCATCAGCCCCCCTTGTCCAGGGCTTCTGTCTGGCCACCTTTATCTCCCACTGTTGAGCTCATGGGGGGAATGAGGGACTTCAGGAGGGAGGGGCTTGTTCCCAACTCCAGAAAGGGTCACCAGGAGGCTGCTGTGTGGCGGTGTCTGCCTGCACCAACGAGTGAGGTTGGGGTGCGTTATTTACAGAGAAGGGAGCGAAGGAGGGGCAGGTTTATACAGTCAGATTGTTGTAACTGGAGTTTTCAGGGCCTACTGTTTCCTTTCCATGTCTGTGTCTGTGAGTCGCCTGTCGTCCAAGCCAGGCTCATTCCCACCCGTTCCTGGAAAAACACACACAATGTGTGCTGCAGTCACCCAGTTTGAGACAGGGCTACAAAATCTTCTAGCCTTTGCTGTGCAGGCCTCCCAGGCTGCCCTGACCGGCAATCAAACGGGTAACCTTTCAGTGCACGGGACAATGCTCGGGGCAGGCGTCTTCAAACTACGGCCCGCGGGCCACATGCGGCCTGCAGAGGAGTCTGATCCGGCCTGCCAGGTTTTTTGGGCAGTGAGCGCAGCCCAGGTGTTACAGTAGGAATTAGTAGTTCATATAGTCCGGCCCTCCAGCTCTCTGAGGGACCGTGATCTGGCCCCCACTTTAAAAAGTTTGAGGACCCCTGGGCTAGGGCCACTTTTTATCCATTCATACATCAATGGGCACAGGTTGCTTCTGTATTTTGGATTGTAAATAATGCTGCAATGAATATAGGGGTGCATATTGCCTCCTTTGTCAGAGATTTATTGACCATATAGGGTTGAGTTTATTTCTGGGATCTCTAATCTATTTCATTGATCTATATATCTGTTTGTTGTTGTTTTTAAGTAGCAATGTCTTTTAAAAATATATGTTTCTATTGATTTTAGAGAGAGAAGAAGAGAGAGGGATAGAGAGATAGAAACATCCATTGGCTGCCTCCTGCATGCCCCCTACTGGAGATGGAGCCTGAAGCCCAGGCATATGCCCTGACTGGGAATCGAACCAGTGAACTCTTGGTCCATGGTTCGACACTACCACTGAGCCACATTGGCCGGATGATGTTTTGATTACTGTAGCTTTGTAGTATCAGGTAGTTGATACCTCCAACTTTGTCCTCAAGATTGGTGTGGCTATTCAGGGTCTTTTGTGCTTCCATATAAATTTTAGGATTATTAATTCTAATTTTGTGAAAAATGTTTTCAGTATTTTGATAAGGATTGAATTGAATCAAAGATTGTTTTGAGTATTCTGGGTATGGAAACTTTTTCCTTTCTTGAATTTTTTGGAATAGTTTGAGAAAGATAGGTATTAATTCTTTGAATGTTTGGTAAAATTCAGCTGTGAAGCCACCTTTGTCCAGGATTTTTGTTTGTTGGGAGTTTTTATTACTGATTTGATTATGTTGGTAGTAACTAGTCAATTCAGATTTTCTGTTTTTTTATTCAATCTTAGAAGATTGTATGTTTTTAGGAATCTATTCATTCCAGATTGTCCAATTTGTTGGCATATAACTATTCGGAATATTTTCTTATAATCCCTTATATTTCTGTAGTGTCAGTTGTCATTTCTTCAATTCTGACTTTAGACTCTATTTCACTTATTTTTGCTTTGATCTTTATTATTTCCTTCCGTCTTCTCACTTTGAGCTTTGTTGTCCTTTTTTTAGTTCCTGTAGGTAAGGTTAGATTGTTTATTTGAGGTTTTTCTTATTTCTTGATGTAGGCTGGATTTGAATTTCCTTGTTAGGTCTGCTTTCCTGTGTTCCTTAGATTTTGGGTTGTTGTATTTTAATTTAATACATCTATTTTTAATATTGTTTCAACAACTCAAACATTATGGGGGGAAATAACTTAAAAAATATAAAACAAACAAAAAAAGATCAAACTAACAAAACAGCCCTAGCTGGTTTGGCTCAGTGGATAGAATGTCAGCTTGTGGATTGAAGGATCCCAGGTTTGATTCCGGTCAAGGGCACATGCCTGGGCTGCGGACTTGATCCCCAGTGGGGAGCATGCAGGAAACAGCCAATCAATGATTCTCTCTCATCATTGATGTTTCTATCTCTCTCTACCTCCCTCTTCCTCTCTGAAATCAATAAAAATATAACTTTTTTTTTTTAAACTAACAAAACAAACTCATAGATACAAGAGAATGGTAGTTACCAGAGAAAAAGGATGAGGGATAGAGTGAAGTGGGTAAATGGATCAAACACATGGTACAGAAAAAACAAAAAGAGGAAAGGAAACTAGACTTTTGATGGTGGGCACAAAATAGAATACCTACATAGATATTCAATTTATAATCTTGTACACCTGGAAGTTATAGAATGTTATTAACCAATGTTCCTTAACACATTTAATTAAAAAAAAGTAGTATATATAGTGTGAATATGTGTGTGTGTGTGTGTGTTAATAGATATATACACACATACAGCATAAGGTGTATGGTTTCCCTATAATCTCAAGCTCCAGTGTGGCTGCACATGGCACTATTGGATCCTGTCCTTATTTAAAATTTTGATAACTTCTCATCCTATATTTTCTATGTGTTTTGATTTTTAAATATTTACTTGATAGATGAGTTTTGGGGGTACCATTCAATTTTATGCCTGAGACTAGTAGGATTCCTCCAGGCAGTGACCCTCCTGGCCTCTGGGCTCTGGGATGGTCTGACTGTGATGGCAGCCCCCCTCTCTGCTTCATGTACCCCAAACATGATATTCACCCTCTCCGGGCTTCATGCTTTCGTGACACTGCGCTTCCTTTACAGCCAGGATCCCCAACTTTAGAGCCTCAGTTAGAACTTTGCTTAAGTCTTTTGATCTGATATTCGACCTCCCATGGTCCAGTTGAGTACTGATGGCGGAAATAGGAGAGACTGTGCTTTGGTAAGACTGAGCTACACGGTATATTTGGCACATGTGAGCTCTCCATTTGGAAGGCAAGCTCTACCAATATTAATCCAGTTCTAAAGCCCCCCAAAGGAGATGTGGTTTGGAAATGCTTTTATAACTATAGCAACTGCCTAAAGAGCCTTGGCCTTGCCTCTAGCCCATGCCATTTATGGGCATACCCATCCTTGCAGCAACTGCTCACACCTGCACCCCGTTCTTGTGTTGCTGGAGCCCACTCTACCCATGTGATGCAGGCCAGAAGTCCCAGGGAGGGAAGGTCAGAGCCACCCAAGGGCAGCCCTCCACAGTGCTATTGGAGCTGGTGGGTAAAGACCTAGCTCCCAGCCAAAACAGGTTTGGCTCAGTGGATAGAGCGTCAGCCCTCAGACTGAAAGCTCCCGAGTTCGATTCCGGTCAAGGGCATGTGCATTGGTTGTGGGCACATCCCCGGTAGGGGGTGTGCAGGAGGCAGCTGGTAGATGTTTCTCTCTCATTGATGTTTCTGACTCTCTCCCTTCCTCTCTATAAATAATCAATAAAGTATATTAAAAAAAAAAAAAAAAAGACCTAGCTCCCAGGGCACAGATGACTCAGAGGTGAGTGTTCTACAGTGTTGCCCCACTTGCCTAGCCAATGGGACACCGCAAGGGCTGGCTCGATGGCCACACCTTGTAGGGGCTTCTTCCTGTACCCCTCTCTCAATTCTTCGCTTCCATACAGGTGCTTTCTGGGGTCCCATCCCAAGTAACTCGTACAGGAATCTTTGTCTCAGGGTATGTTTGCTGGAAAACTCTAAGATAAAAACAATGTTTATTTTGCCCACTCTAAAATCAAAACATTAAAATGGCGTACAAGTAGGAAGAATAAAACTCCTCCTCCCCAAGGTGGTATGTGTTTGCTATATTTGCATCCATTTTGGTTACATTTGCTCATATGGATATTGTAAACTTTTGTGGACAGTTTGTCTCTTGCCCTAATCATTTTCCTCCTTTTGAATCATTGGTCATGATGACTCTGTTTCTCTCTACCCTCGCTCCCCGTCCCCTACCAACCATTTTTCTACTCTGTTTCTTTAGGTTTAACGTTTCTACATATAAGTGATACCAATGCTGTGTTTGTCTTTCTCTGGCTTATTTCACTTAGCATAATGCCCTCAAGATCCATCCATGTTATCCAAAAATTTGACAAAGGACTCCCTTTTTCCTTGTGGCAGAATAATATTCTATTGTATAAATAGTTGATGGTTTTTTTTGTTTTTTGTTTTATCTGTTTATTCATTAATGGACACTTAGGTTGTCTCCATATCTTGGCTATTGTGGTTAATGCTGCCATGAATGTGGAAGGGCAGATATCTCTCTCAGATCCTGTTTTCATTTCCTGTGGATGTATGTCCTAGAAGTGGGGATGCTGGATCTTTTGATAGATCTATTTGTAATATTTCGAGAAACTTCCATACTGTTTTCCATAGTAGCTGCACCAATTTACAAGCCCACCAACAGTGCACAAGGGTTCCCTTTTCTCCACATTCTTGACCACACTTCCTATCTCTTGTCTTTTTTATAAGAGCCACTGTAACAGGTCTGAAGTAATATCTCATTGTGCTTCCATTGTGGTTATGATGTGCATTTTCCTGATGATTAAGGATGTTGCGCACTTTTTCATGTGCTGTTGGCCATTTGTATATCTTCTTTGGAAAAATGTCTGTTCAATTCCTATGCCAGATTTTGAATCGGGTCATTTGCTGTTGGGATGTGCGCGATGATTTTTTTATGGCTTTTTAGTTGGAAGGCTCTGGCTTGGCCATGACCAACCGGTGATATGTCTGCCCCTTGCCCTTGCAGGCATTCGCCCCTACAAATGTGATGTCTGCAACAAAGCCTTCACCCAGCGCTGCTCCTTGGAGTCCCACCTGAAGAAAATCCACGGGGTGCAGCAGCAGTATGCCTACAAGCAACGCCGGGACAAGCTCTACGTCTGTGAGGATTGTGGCTACACAGGCCCCACCCAGGAGGACCTGTACCTGCACGTGAACAGTGCCCACCCGGGCAGCGCGTTTCTCAAAAAGACATCCAAAAAACTGGCAGCCCTTTTGCAAAGCAAGCTGACATCCACCCTCCAGGGGAGTGCCAACCTGAGCGAGGAGGAGGAGAAGTGAGGAGGAAGAGGAAGGGGGAGACGCCAACGCTAACACGTTTACACGAACTTTTGGTTTTGAGGATCCCACTGGCTCTTTCTAATGACAAGTGTTCCGTTTATCTCTCTGTCCTTTTGGGGCCTCGGCAGGGGGATCTGCCCCAGGGCTGTCGGTTGTAATGATTGTGTCAGGTACCCCGTAACCCAGGCCCCGCTGAACACACTCACGTTCACGGAAGTTGATCGGTGGGTGGCTGTGGTCACCGTGCAGGACTTTTTGTGTGTGTTTTAGGAATTTCATACACGGAAGCAGATGTGTTCTTAGAGAGACCATCATATTATGGTGCCTTGAAATAAAAGTACTTCCACTTGAAATGCTACTTAAGTGAGAAAAATGAATTTTATTATCCTGAAAGAGTTTACAGGAATCACTTGAATAAGTGAAATGTCCTCTGGAAACTTTCCTTATAATAACCAAACAGGAGAGCGTTGAGCTATGTAGCTCCTTGTTTCAGGCTTATTGTGTGACATTCAACTTCGGGTTATTTGGGGGTTGATTATTTTGTCAGGGGGTGGGTTTGAAGAGGCAAATCTTAAGAGTACTGAACTGCTGACTCCTCCACTGATGGCCAGAGGTGCCTGGGGTCAAATCAGTAGGTAACTGACTTGCGTCACTTTTTGTGGCTGTGGGGTTACTGCAGAGATGCCTCTGACTTTCTGGGGCTGGGATTGTCTCCCTTCCTTGGGGACAATGTGCGGCAGAGGCCAGCGTATGAGGAAGGCTCACTGGCAGGCACAGTGCACTTGTGGGAGGGGCAGCAGCAGCAGCATGTGACTGCTGCGGGCAGCGACCTTTAGCTCCCTGCATCCGCTCATGTAGGAGGCCTGAAAGGTTAACAGTAAACCAACCTGAGACCTTAATAGGGTAAAGGGAGGCACTCAGGTTCATTTCACCCTGGAAGATCAAGAAAACCTTGCTTGGGACCAGGTCACTCCTTGGCCTAAGGGAACATTTGTATGAAGAAACCATTTTCTTATTTCCTCCCTCTTCCATTGTCCCTCTTACTCCCCTCTTTCCTTCCCTTTTCTCTCCTTCCTTTCCTTCCACCTTCCCTCCCCTTTTCCTCTTCCATACTGTGGGCCAGCCATTATGCCAATACCTGGGTGGTATTAGTAGCATATCCCATGACACTCCTCTTCTGAATCAGCACTTTTCTTTCAGAAGGAAGGAAGTTTACCCTTTTGCAGGGCACTTGCGACCTACATGGCGCTGCACATGTTCTCTGGAGTCATCCTCGGAGCACACCTGGGGGCCACCTCTCCGTACCCGTGAGCAGATGAGGTGACAGCAGAGGCCAGCAACTGGTGGCCACTGGAAGGAACCCACAGCAGCACCACAGGATGAAGTGCAGCCTCCAGGGTCAGCCTGCACTGAGGCTCAACACTGGCTCCAGTGGGCAAATTGTTAACATTGTGTTGCGTCTAGATACAGAGGAGAGAGCGGCCAGAAGGTGATTGGTTTGCTTTCCTCAGTTATCCAGGTCATTAGACAACATAACAAACATTCCTGCCCTGCTGTGGTGGCTCAGTGTATGAGGGTCAACCTATGAACTAGGAGGTCACGGTTCGATTCCAGGTCAGGGCACATGCCCAAGTTGCAGACTCAATCCCATGTGGGGTATGGAGGAGGCATCAGATCAGTGATTCTCTCTCATCATTGGTGTTTCTATCTCCCTCTTCCTTCTCTGAAATCAATAAAAAAATATATTTTAAAAACCTAAATGAACATTTCTGTAAGGAAACATCTAAATTGCTCTGGCTGGGCGAGTAGCCTGTGGCCTGTTTTGCACAGGGAATTGTAAACTAGCTGGTGTGATGTTCTCTTTGGGGCCAGATTTTTACTAGCAGAACTCTTGGTTGCAGGTGATAGAAATTCAGTTTAAAAGATCTTTGGCAGGAATGCTAATCTATTAGCTAAGTCTAGGGTTGTTCCCGCCTCAGGGATGGTAAGCACAGATGCTTAAATCAAGCTATCGTCCTTCATCTTTTATCCAGTTTCCCCCACGTGGCTTCTTTCTCAGACAGGCTCAAGTGGAAGCTAGATGACCACCCACCCTTGGACTTCTATCCCACAGTGCACCAGCCCAGCGCAAGGAGGGTTTGTCTATTAACTGGCCATCTTGGGCTGATGCTTCTTGTCTCTGATTGGCCAGCTTTGACTCTTGGGCCTGCCCCTGAGCCAGTGACCCTGCTGGGGTGAGAGGGGCTTTTTTCACCCAGGCCAGAGTCTTATGCCCCTGCCTCCCCTGAAGCAGGGGTAGAGAGAGCAGGTCAGTCATACCTCTGGCCTGGGAGTGGTTCCCCAGCAGAAAAGCAGTGTGCTGTGATCAGAGAGGAAATGGATGTCGAGTAGGTGTACTAGCTAAGACACCTATGGCTGAAGTAACAAAGATTCCTAGGAAGTGCTGTGGCTTAAAGAAGAGAGGTCACTTTTTCTTTCTTTCTTTTTTTTTAAAGAAGGTTGTTTCTTTCTCACCCAGCAGTTCTGGATTGGTGGGTGGCTCTCCTCCATGCACTCACTTGGAGACCCAAACTTCTTTCCTTCATTGCTCTACCATGTCCTAGGACATTGTCAACATATGCATGGGTCTCTGTGAGTTTCAGCTAGTAGGAGAGTTGGTTTGAGTTCCTCCAAGGCGAGGCTTCAATTTCTACTCAATTGCTTTGGAGAGTGATCCCAGGAAGCTTCTGCAGGGCAGTGGGGAAGAGAGACAGGGAAGGGAAAATAGCCAACAAAGGGAATATAATCAAGGAAGATACTGCTGTAGACAACTGGAACATAACCACTGCAGGGATTTCTGGGAGACAGTATAGACGTGCCTTAGAGTTACCCCACTTGAGGGGCATAGGAAACCATTTGTCTACTACTTCCCCATCCTTGAGGATTTAGTTGAGGTGCTGGCATTGGGGATATTCATTTCTGGTCCCTTCCAACTTTCCCTGTGTACTTGCCAAGCATGCTTCTTATGCCAGGAAAAGCTCTCGGGCAGCGTGATGGGTGGGCCTAAAGCAGCCTTCAGCACCTAGAACCAAATGCTCTGGAGACCTAGGTAGGGTGGCACCTGGTCTGGTACAGGTGTGGAAAAGTCACTCACTCTGAAACTGCTGGCCTGGATGTGGCACTGGGGATGGGGTAGGAAAAGGCAGCCTTCTCATCAAAGGAACAATGGCCTCTGCCTGCACTTTGGTCTGGGAGAAAACTGTCCTCCAGCTCTCATCCTGATGCCAGATGGTTTAGTTCCTCCTGTAGGTATCTGGTGCCTTTTCTTGTTGTTAGTCTTCACCCGAGGGCATTTTTTTCCATTGAGTGGAAGGGAGTGAGGGAAAGGTAGAGAGAAACATCAATGTGAGAGAAACACATAGATTGGTTGCCTCCTGCATAGCCTGGACTGGGACGGGGGATCAAACCTGCAACCCAGGTACTTGCCCTTGACCTGGAATCAAACTCGTAACCCTTTGGTGCACAGGCTGACACTCTAACCACAGAGCACGCTAGCCATGGTTCTGGAGCTCAGAGGGATTATCTGCAGGCCCTTTAAGAGGAACTGTTTTGGACTCCAGGAGTCCTCTCTCTCACAGCCTCAGTCCCCACTGGTTTTTACAGGCAGAGATTATGGGAACTTTTCTTCTTGGCACTGGAATCCTGGCCTGGGGGACCTGGTGCAGGGTTGGGACCCTTGGCTCCTCAGGTGGGAACTCTGCAGGTATGATATTCCTCCCAATTTTTATCTGCTACATGTGGGTGTGGGACCAGCCCATTTAGCATCTCTGCCCTTCCTACCAGTCTCCATGTGTCTTCTTTAAATCCCTAGTTGTAGGACTTCCATTCAGCCAGATTTCAGGTGGTTCTGAATGATGTAATTTTTATGTGGTTGTGGCAGGAGGCACGTACCGCATTTAACCTTCACCACCATCTTGACTGGAAGTCTTGGTTGATGTCTTAGGTTGAGTTCCTACAAGCAGAGCCTGAGACAGATTCTGAGGTAAGTGATTTATTGGGTGTGGCTGTAGGGATAAACTAATAAGGAGTAAGAGGAACCAGGTACAACAGAGGAGGAAACTAGGCAAAGCTGTGGGTTCAATTGAAGTCTAACCTTGGCTGATCTTTTTTTTTTTTTTTTTTTTAATATATTTTTATATTCAGAGAGGAAGGGAGAAGAAAGAGAGAGATAGAAACATCAATGATGAGAGAGTCCTGCACACCCCACACTGGGGACCGAGCCCACAACCTAGGCATTTGCCCTTGACCGGAATTGAACCTGGGACTCTTCTGTCTGCCGGCTGACACTTTTTCCACTGAGCCAAACTGGCCAGGGCTCGGCTTGGTCTTAGGGAAAGCTCTGCAGTGTGAATGACATTACAGACACTGTCTCACCTTGAGGCCAAGGGCAAGTCATTGGCAACTGTGGTTACCGCTGGGAGGGAGGGGAAAAGGCAGAGTGTTGTACTGTCATGGTTTGGGATTTGGGCCAATATGATAGGGGAGGAATCATTCTTCAGGGTAGGTTTTTGTTGTTGTTGTTTTTGGTTAATTCTCATACAAAGATAGTTTCCCCCCCTGTATTTATATTTAGAGAGACTGGAAGGCAGAGAAAGAGAGAGAGACAGAGAGAAAGAGAGAGAGAGAATTATCGATGTATGAAAGACACATCAGCCGAAACCGGTTTGACTCAGTGGATAGAGCGTCGGCCTGCTGACTGAAGGGTCCCGGGTTCGATTCCAGTCTAGGGCATGTACATTGGTTGTGGGCACATCCCCGGTGAGGGTTGTGCAGGAGGCAGCTGGTCGATGTCTCTCTCTCATCGATGTTTCTAGCTCTCTATTTCTCTCCCTTCCTCTCTGTAAAAAAAATCAATAAAATATATTAAAAAGAAAGAAAGACACATCAATTGGTTGACTCCTGCATATGCCCCAACCTGGGCCTGAATTGGGTCTGCAACCAGGTACATACCCTTGATCGGGAATCAAACCTAGACCCATTGGTCTGCAGGCTGACACTAACCATTGAGTAAACTGGCCAGGGCTCAAGATAGTTTTATTATACTATGTGTGAGAGAAAGAGGCTGTATGTCTTCTGTTATGATCAAGGACTGCTTGTTGTTCCCTGTTTTGAGAACTGCCTGAATGCCCATGTGTTTATGGGCTGTTGGCCTTTTTGTTTCCTGCCCAACTTCTGGGAGTTTATTTATTTAATTAAATGTACTAGGAAGTTCAGCTCCCAGATTATCACTATCTTTCAATTTTGCTCATGCTGGTTTGTTTCGGCTAAGGAGAAGTTTTGTGATTTCTTAAATGAAGTTTGAATTGATTCATCATTTTCTTTGAAGGCTGCTGGAGATTGAGTTGCAGTTAGAAAGGCCTTCCCACTCCAACATTATATCCGAATTCAGTGATGCCTTCTTCTAGGGCTTCAATGGTTTCATTCGATCATGTGTAAATCTTTGATCCATTTGAATTACTTCCCAGTATATAGTGGGAGGTATGGATCCAGCTTTGTCATTTTCCAGATGGTTGCCAAGAGATATTTTTTAACGGGAAGCTGGTCCAAAAAAAACCAGAGAATGCTTTCTTTAGGAAAAGTTCACGTGCTGCAGCAGGTGTTGGGAATTGCAGTGAGAAGCAGTTTTTTTTTTAATTAGCAAAGATTTATTTATTCAAGGAATATCTGCTGAGCATCCAGTGTGGCATGTACTTTCCCAGATACCGAGGCTGGGAAAAAGCAGACCCAAGTCCCTGTTCTCCGAGACTCCCCTTCTCTTGGGGGAGAGACAGACAAGAAATAAACAGGTAAACATAGATTGTGTTAGCTACTACAGAGAGAAATCACATCCGTGTTCCACTTACTGTGACTGGAACAAATTGTGCCAACGCTCAGGGTTCTGTGAGTCAGGAATTCGGACAGGTCACTGCACAGAGGCATAGGAGATGGCTTTCCTCTTCTCCATGATGTTTGGGGCCTCGGCTAGAAGAATTGGCAGGGTGGGGGGTGGAGGGCGTGCTTGTGCTGAGAACAGGCAGTGAGCAGTCTGTTCACTCATGCATTTGGTGGTCAATGCTGGCTGTTGGCTGGAGTCTAGATTCTTCTCCACATGGGGCTCCCCTTATGGTTGGTCTCTCTGTGCGAGCTAGTTTGGGCTTCCTCGGATGTGATGGGTTCCAAGGGAGAATGTCCTAGGAGAGTCAGGTGGAGGCTGTATCATCAAGGGGACCGTGCAAGTTGCTACGGCCAGTTTTAGAAAACAGAATCTTTCGCATAAGCTAAGGAGGTCTGGGATGAGGATGGATATGTGAAGTCAGTGGAAACTGTTAGCATTTATAGAGGGAGTCAGGGATGTATGGCCTGAAGGAAGTGAGGGATACGGTATGTCCTGTGGTTATCTGGGGAAGTGTCCCAGGCAGAGGGAACAGCAAAGGCCAAGGCCAGGAAGTAAGGGTATATTTGACCTGTTTGAAAAGCAGGAGGACCAGCGCAGCTTTAGCAGAGTGAGAAGAGAAGGGGAGGCTGTAGATGAGGCCAGAGGTCCTGGGGAGCAGGTTGCCTAGCGCAGGCTATTCTTCTGAATGAACTGGAAAACCATTGGGAGTTTTGAGCAGAGGAGTAACATGATATCATTTATATTTTAATAGACTTGTTGCTACTGCTGTGAGAACAGATTTGGAGGTGAGAGGCATAGGTGGAATTGGAGAAACCAGCTAGGAAGCCTTTGCAAAAATAGTCAGGACACCATAAATGCTTGGGCCAGAGTGATAACGAAAGAGGTGATGAGGATGGCCAGATGCTAGATATGTATTTTTTAAAAAACAGCTCGGTTTTTTGTTGATGAACTGGATGTGGGTTAGTGGACAGACCATACATCCTTATTTGTTTGGGACAGTTGCAGTTTATATAATTCGTGCATGGTGACTGGGTCCCTCAGCCCGACCTGCACCCTCTCCAATCTGGGAGCCATGACAGCTTAGGCCCACTCCCCATGGTTCTCTGCTCTCTGCGGGGCCTAGCAGCTCCATGCCCACTGCTCAGAGGCTCTCCGTGGCCAGGGCGGGACACTTGTCTCCTAGCCATGGCGACGAAGCAAGCATTCCACCAGGCTACTCACTGCCTATTCTCAGCACAAGCACGCCCCCCCACCCCTCACCGTGCCAGGACTAAGGGACTCCGGTGTGGCTGAGGGGACTGGATGCCGCCATCTTGTGGCAGAGTGACAGTTAATTTGCATATTGCCCTTTTATTAGATAAGGTGACATGGTCACCCTGGTTATGAGAAAAAGAGAGGAGTCAAGAATGGCTCCATATAGGGGAAATAAATGGTAATAGAAAAGTAAATAAATAAAATTAAGAGGCAAAAAATGGCTCCAAAGCTTTTGGACTGAATAACAGGAAGAATTGCTCTGCCTGAGGAGCTGGGTTGGGGGAAGGGTGGGATCAAGAGTTGCAGTTTGAGCCGGGACTGGTTTGGCTCAGTGGATAGAGCGTCGGCTTGCGGACTGAAAGGTCCCGGGTTCGATTCCGGTCAAGGGCATGTACCTTGGTTGTGGGCGCATCCCCAGTAGGAGGTGTGCAAGAGGCAGCTGATCGATGATTCTCTCTCATCGATGTTTCTAACTCTCTATCCCTCTCTCTTCCTCTCTGTGAAAAATCAATAAAATATATTTAAAAAAAAAAAAAAAAAAAAAAAAAGAGTTGCAGTTTGAATCTTTCAAGTCCATTAAGAGACTTCCAAGTGTCTGGTAAGCACACGGACCACTGACTGGGAGGGGGTAGTTCCCGGACAGGGTGTGAGGTGGAAATGGGAAGTCTAGCGGTTGCTGAACCACAGAAAGCAGGAAGCCATGAGGCTGGGACCTACCGGAGGAATGGAAGGAGCTGCCATAGGAAAGGAGGTATGGGGTAGGGGATGGAGGTGAGGGCTAGCACCCTTTAAGAGGTGTTTTCTCTCCCTCAGTTTGGCGCCTGCTCTTTGCTGTGAATGAAAATCTTTCTTATGTATGTGTACTTCCTCATCTTAAACAGAGGGCAATAAACCTCATCTGCTGTTAAAAGTGACTTAGTCATCATCATCAATATTGCCTGTGGTCACACCCATTTGTAGACATAGCTTCTGCAAGGCCCGGTGGCCCACAGGCCTGCTTGTCCCTGTGCCCTGCACTTTCCATTTGCATTTCAATTTCCACTCACTTTTCTTCTTTTTTGAAAAAATATATATTTTATTAATTTTTTACAGAGAGGAAGAGAGAGGGATAGAGAGTTAGAAACATTGATGAGAGAGAGACATCGATCAGCTGCCCCCTGCATACCCCCCTACTGGAGATGTTCCCGCAACCAAGGTACATGCCCTTGACGAGAATCGAACCTGGGACCTTTCAGTCCAAAGGCTGATGCTCTATCCACTAAGCCAAACCGGTTTTGGCTTTTTTTCTTATTGTATCACAGCCTCTCCTCCTTTAATGCAGGGCTTCCCAGGCTTCCAGTGCACTAGGACTACAAGTGAAGAAAGGGCCTGTCCTGTGACCATTAGTCACTACTTACACTGTTTTGAAGGCTTGTTTCTCTCTCTCTTCATTTTCCCTGGACAACTGCTTACTGGAAGGCAACTTTTGGGTAAGAGAAATGGAACTATAAAAGTTATTTCGACCGAAACTGGTTTGGCTCAAAGGATAGAGCGTCAGCCTGCAGACTGAAAGGTCCCAGGTTCGATTCTGGTCAAGGGCATGTACCTTGGTCGCGGGCACATCCCCAGTGGGGGGACGTGCAGGAGGCAGCTGATCGATGACTCTCTCTCATCAATGTTTCTAACTCTCTATCCTTTTCTCCCTTCCTCTCTGTAAGAAATCAATATAATATATTTTAAAAAAATAAATAAAATAAAATATATTTTATTAATTTTTAAAAGATATACTTAAAAATAAAATAAAATAAAGAACATATATATTTTTTAAAATAAATAAAATAAAAAATATTTTTTTATTTAAAAAAATATATACTTTATTGATATTTTACAGAGAGGAAGGAAGAGAGGGATAGAGAGTTAGAAACATCGATGAGAGAGAGTCATCGATCAGCTGCCTCATGCACGTCCCCCCACTGGGGATGTGCCCGCAACCAAGGTACATGCCCTTGACCAGTATAGAACCCGGGACCCTTGAGTCCGCAGGCTGACGCTCTATTCACTGAGCCACACCGGTTTCGGCTAATAAAATATATATTTTTTAAAAAGTTAATTCATTGCCAATTTTATCTGTCGGGCAGTATTTACTAGGCACACCTTCCCATATGTCCCAAGCATTGTGTTAGACCCAGCAGGGGCTACCATGACTGATTGGCTCATTCCTACAACAAATATTGGTTGTGGCCCGACAGACAAAGCAGACAAAAATCCCTGCCAGTTTTGAGTGTCTCTTCTAAAGGGAGAAGGTAGAGAATATAAGAAAAACTAGTAAAATATGAGAATGCGGGTGGTGCGAAGAGCTGTGGGAAATTGTCAAGCAGAGAAGGTGCAGGACAGTTCGAAGGAGAGGAAGCTGCAAACAGGGTGATCCTGGGAGGCCTTAATGAGACCATGAGGGGGTGTCTCGGGATCCAGCAGCACCCAGGTCAGGTGGCTATTGTGAATCCTGGCAAATGCAGGGCTGCCCATCACACTAAGACAACTCCTGAATCCTCCCCTTTCGGAGGCCCGCAGCACTGAGGGGATGTATATGTGGGCCTGGCTGCCTCCTGGCCTCATCACTCCCTACTCAGCTCCAGCCGCAGTGGGGTCTGCTTTCCTCACACATCCCAAGCACATTCCTGTCTCAGGGCTTTGGCATGTCCTCTTTTAAAACATTTTTTTTTAATTGATTTCAGAGAGGAAAGGATAGGGAGAGAAAAATAGAAACATTAATGGTGAGAGAGAATCATTGATTGCTGGATCCCAATGGGGATCCAGCCCACAACCTAGGCATGTGCCCTGACTGGGAATTGAACTGTGATCTCCTGGCTGATGCTCAACCACTGAGCCATGCTGGTTTGGCTTGGAGGGCATTTATTAAAGCTGGGGAAAGTGAGACAAGAAAGGGGATGGGAAATGACCCTCGCCTGGTCTGCGTTAGCTCACTAAGAGGGGGACAGGTTCAAGGGGTTTGCCTGGAATGAACTATCATTGCCCATTGCTGTCCTGGTTGCAAACCTTGTGGGGTCCCTTAGAGTTTTGGAGATGCACACCTGTGTGTATGTGTGAGGGAGGAGCGGGGGGTGCACTCCTGGGAGGGAGAGAATGCCTTTGACCTTCATTTTGAGGGATTTTAAAGGCTGGGCATTGCCCTAGCCAGTTTGGCTCAGGGGATAGAGCTTCTGCCCAAGAATTGAAGGGACCCAGGGTGCGTGTAGGAGGCAACCAGCCAATATGTCTCTTTCACATTGATGTGTCCTTCACTCTGTTTTTTCCCCTCCCTTCCTCCGTTTCTAAAAATCAATGGAGAAATATCCTTGGGTGAGGATTAATAAAAATTAAAAAAGTAAATAAAATAAAGACCGGTCATTTAGGAAGATCTTAGGGGAGGGTATCACTAGAATATTCATCAGCATTATGCTGATGTGTCAAAATAGCATTTGCTTACTATCCATCTCTCCCGTTGGACTGTAATCTCTGTGAGATGAGAAAATATATTGGTTCTGCTCACTGCTTCATTCCTGGATCTTAGGACAGTGCCTAACAGACACTCAATATATATAAATATATAAATATATAAATATCCACTCTTCTAAGATCAAAATAGCCTTGGTGATAGAATGACCCTATCCTTCTGAGAAAAAAAATAACCTAATCCCCAGCTCTTGGGAACACACACTGTTCTTTTTGTAAGGAACATCCTGCAACTGACCTTAGGCATCAACATCCACACACTTTTATTGAACTCCTTTTTCATGGAAGACTGATTGGAGAACAAACAGATAAACATTTGAAAAATAACTGGCGACTTTAAACAAATCCAGTTCTGTGTTTGGAGAATCGCCTGTGTTTCCAAAGAGGGGGCAAGAAGAAGGAGCTGATGCAAAGCCAGCTGGAAGGAGGGGTGAAGAGCACCGAGTACCAGGGAGGACATGATGGAGGGCACTAGCCCAGCTTCTAATGACTCCCAGGCCTGCCCTGCACCCCCGGCTAGCTCGTAATTCCTTTAGAGAGGCCTCCTGGGCTCCTGGAGTCCTCTCTATGTAAAGGGCCAGATTGGTACGGCCACCACCATGGTCCACACCGTTGCTATTTGGGTTCTCTCCTGTTCTCTAGGCCTGACGTTTTCTCAGCCAATTCCAAGCCGGGCGTACCATTTTAGCTCACGTGGGCGAGTGTTTTGTGGGGACAGCAGATGGATGGGATGACAAATAGCAGGATGGTGAGGACAGCTCAAAAGTGCTTTTTCCTGTGTCAGAGCTGTTGGCTAGGCACGTGCTCCAATTTAGTCTCGACTCACTGGGAAAGCAACAGCATGTACTAGCGGATAGCAGACAAACTGGCTTCCATTTCTTTCTTTGCTGCTAAGCAACCCCATCTATACAGCCAATGAACCATCTCACCAACTGTCCCGGAAGTAGACCCTGAGTCAGTGGCTCATTACTGATATTGTCCTGGGGAAGTGAAACAGGGAAGAGAAGAAAGTCGATACAGCAGGTTGCCACTGGGTCTCAGTCAGCTGGGGAGTTCTGGGCAGCTATATAGAAAATGCCTGAGAGCTGTACCACTGGAGGGGTGAGTAAGCTGGGCTATTCGGCCACTAATTCCTGCAGACTGAAGGGTTCCAGGTTCTATTCCAGTCAAGGGCATGTACCTTGGTTGTGGCCACATCCCCAGTAGGGGGTGTGCAGGAGGCAGCTGATAGATGTTTCTCTCTCATCAATGTTTCTAACTCTCTATCCCCCTCCCTTCCTTTCTGTAAAAAAAATCAATAATATATATTTTTTTCATTGGCCAAGGGTTGCCTCCAAGGGAATTAACTCCATGGAACTTTGGCATACCCTGCAGCCAGACAGAAGCTTCATGCAGTTCTAAGGATTTTATAAGAAACCATCTGCCGGGACCGGTTTGGCTCAGTGGATAGAGCGTCGGCCTGCGGACTGAAAGGTCCCAGGTTCGATTCCAGTCAAGGGCATGTACCTTGGTTACGGGCACATCCCCAGTGGGGGGTGTGCAAGAGGCAGCTGGTCGATGTTTCTCTCTCATCGACGTTTCTAACTCTCTGTCCCTCTCAGTTCCTTTCTGTGTAAAATCAATAAAATATATTTAAAAAAAAAAAAGAAAAGAAACCATCTGTCTTGGCTTGGGCCGCTATAACCAAGAACCATTGACTTGGAAGCTTGTAAACAATAA